CTGAAGACGGAGATAGAGTCCCATCTCCGAAACGTCGTTTTTTACGTTTTATATTTACTAGACGATGGATAATATCCAAGAAAAGTTTTATTCAATTGACTCTTCACCATCGTCAAGAAGTTTTAGATTAAATAAAATCTTTGTTTAAACGAAGTTCGCTCATATTTATAGAATCTGTACGATGTAATTTATATGAATAGGTAAAATAGCTTCTGTATTGTTGAGTAATATATTTCTGGGTAAACATATTACGTTAGAGCTAACCACACGAAGTTTCCTTCCTATGCTCGGCAAATTTTGAGGGTATCCCTTACGATATTACATACTATTGTGCCATACTCGTTACCGTTATTGTTAACATTAAAATATACTTTCTTACATTTATACATTAATTCTTAACATTCAAACCTAAAAATCATTAACGTTTCCAGATTTAGTTTATAATCTATTACTCTACATTTTAAAAATCCGTTTTAATAACATTCTCCCAAGTAGTATTTTCTTTTCAGGTTTTCGGACTAAAATTTTGTATGTATTTCTAACCAATCTCATGTATAATTCATAATTAACGCAACTCACAAGTCTTGATTTGTTAACCGTAACATTTCTATAAGAAGCTACCCATTGTGTAAATTTTTAATCTTCATATTATTTTACACTTCTTATATCCAAATATTTTTATAGTACTTTGTTCTTAGACATTACTAATGTACGTCTTCCCTTAGAGTGAGAACCAATTTTCTATACCTATATAAAATAAACTATAAAATTAGTTTTGCTCATTTCAATTTTCGTATTTTTAGATACTGCATGTGAATATAAAATATTAAAACTATAATATGAGGAGTAAACATTCCCAGGATCAGTCTACTCTTAATGTCGTCACTAATGCAAATTTTTATTTGTTTTGTTGTCGTTCTGTATATTCGAACTTTGCCACATTTTCGAAGGATTCATTAAATACATTGTCGTTCTGTATATTCGAACTTTGCCCCATTTTCGAAGGATTCATTAAATACCTCAAATTGAAATTTATTTTAGACTGAACGTCTTAAAAATATTTGTTTTTATTTACAGTACAGTATAACTTACTAACGTGATCACATGTACACAGTGACCATCTGCATGTTGTATAATGTGGCCACTTTTGAAACGCTCATTTGATTTACTTAGTCAAGTCTTCATTGAAACAAAATTGCTTGCATTTCACTTTCCTTAATTCCGTCGATAGCCACTCCGTTTTAGTAGCAGCACATTCAACCCACTCCTACCCCCACCCTTCCTACTTGAGTTGAGCCGAGTTGCCAGTTTACAGCGGACCGTAGCAAGTGGCAGTTCATTGTTAGTTGTAGAAATAACTTGTAGCAGTAGCCAAGATGTCAGGGAATACAAAAGAACTAACCTTTAAATAAAAAGTGCAAGTGTTAAGATTTTTAGAAGCTTGGAGTAGAACAGCTTATAGAAGCCTTCGGAATTAGCAAGACTTTTGTGAAAACAAGATGCAGAGAGTAAAATACTTCGAGTGGATGAGACATGAAACGATAAACTTTGCAGAATAGTAAGAAAAAGCAGTAACGATTATATCGATAAAAATATTCTCGATTGGTTCCACAAAACGATAGGGTTAAATGTTCACGTTTCTGGTCCTGTGATTCAAAGAGTAAGTCTCAATTTTACCAAAGAATTTAATGTTCAGGATTTTCAGCATTAAATGGAAGTTTCGACAGTTTTGGGGAGATAAATTTAATTTTATTTATAAAATCTCTTGAGTGTGGAATTAAATGAAGTGTCACAAGATGGAGTAAAATCCTGGAAGAAAAAGTTAGTGGAATGATTTCGTGTTTCAAAGGAGGAGACATGCAATTGAATGTGGATTCGTCCTTCGATCGATGCCAGGCCAGACACTAGCAACAAAAGGAATCAAATGCAGAAGAGGCAGGACCTCTAAGGACCAATTAAGTTTTATTAGCAGCAAATGTTACGGATGAGAGACTACAACTATTTCTAATTGGTAAAAGGAAAACAACCGACTTGTTTTCATAAAGCGTACATGAACAGTTTGACATTTATCTGGAGATTTACGTAAAAGGTGTGGATGGACCAGTGAGACACTCATTGAATGGTTTAATATCGTTAACAGAATGACGAAACATCAGAATGGAAAAGTTTTAATGATTGTGGTTAACTGTCCGTTTCATCCAAACTTTGAAAACTTTGTGAAACATGTAAGTAAAATTTATTCCACGGAATGCTTCAACAGGGCATTTTGATAATATCGAAGGCGCTGTCCAGAAAGATCCTAGTAACTTCTGTTATAGCAAAGTCCGATAATTTTCAGTACATAAATATATTTTCGAAGTCAGTGAATGTGCTGGATGCTGTTTTATGGTTTGCTGACGCGTAATGGATAAAGTTAATCCCGAATCAATCAGTGCAGGCAACTCTCGGTTTACGAACGAGTTCGGTTCCAAGACGTTCGTTATACGTTTTTGTTCGTTATGTGTATCTTGCATTCCTGAGATTTTACGATACGTATCGTATACGTTAGCAGCCATTTTAAGGAATTAAAGCCATTTACTAAACATCGAATGGTCTATACAATACGTTTTATTATAATGTATGTATGCGTTATGGTTTATCGTATACTATACGTAACGTAAAATAAAATAAGTAAAGAATAATAAAACAAGACATCGTACATGTTAATTTTAATCAGAAACATAAAGAGTTACAAAATTTTCTGATAATTATTGAAATAAATACATTTTTAAAAGTTTATTTATTTAAATCTTACAATCATGTTCACTATACGTTTGGCACTTCGTCTTATAAGGAACTCTATCTATTGGCGACTTTAAGAACTTTTGAATGAATTGTGACGTTCGTAAACCGAGAGTTGCCTGTAATTACTTCTCCAAAGCAGGATTTGTTTTTAATTGCTTTAAATCAGACCAACAAGAAAACACGACTGTAGATTTGTTGGGACTTAAAAATTACTCTTTTTAGAATCATCGCCAAGCTGTAAGATCACTTCAAGCGAATTTATTAAAATGGACAATGATATTGCGATAATCGATATCAAACGAACGAAATTAAAATTGTGTTGATCCCGTATTATGGACGTTTTTTTAAATGTCATAGAAACTTTTTAAAATGTTATTTGTATATCGTAGCTCTTCTTAAATTCATTTCCAACCCATATAAAAATTTTAATTTTATTCTTAATGTATTTTCCTAGTTCTATAATTTTGTTTTTCAGACATTCCGTCCTCTTGTTATTGAAATTTTGCTTTCGATCCATACTAATTTAGCCTGCTTCATCGTATCACATAATTTAGAACTTTGCTCACAAAAAGTACTTTATTATTCTTTAACATGTAATAATCTAAACATTCTCTAATAAATTTTGGTTCCTTTCCACTGATATCCCAAGCTTTACTTTTACCCTAATTATCATTTGAGTCTTCCCAAACCTGTAAACCTGTTTCAGTTATTAACCTGCCAATATTATGTTTTATGTTGTTTATATTTTTGAGACGAGATGTCTCATATAAAACTACGCGTTTACCATCGCCAAGACCGAATTCATTAACTCATGCTTCTTCAATGATTGGTCGATCGTTGGTTTGGTTAATTTTATAACATAACTTCGTTTGGTAAACTAGTCTATGAAAGATGAGTTAGGATAAACGTGGAAGAACGCGTATGTAAATATTTTAATGTAATATCTCGTTTTTGTCCTGAGAAATTTGGAAATAAATGAGAAACTGTAGACAGCGAAGTAATTTCACTGCGACAGAATAAAAGAACTGTATATTATTTTATAGTGAGCTGTTTGATTATCGAATATAGGGCACGGATAATATTTTAGGTTGGTGGTAGGCGCTCCACGTGGTAATTCCACTTATCCTGAGCATCGTGGCGTCTATGAACCGGGGGTTGTGTATCAGTGCGGTTTGGACAGGGGGAACAATTGTCAACACATCGTCTTGGCCAGCAAGGGTAAGTTCTGTTGAAGACAATTTCGGTAAGTCTGCTTTAGGACTGCACTGCACTCAACACCATACAGAACACAGAACTTTGAACGAAGTTCCAAAGTCTTGTAGCCAATTTTAGAAAAATGTAAAACAAATACATGGTTTTAGATTTAAAAAAGACCATATCTCTACAGATTCTTTTTGTGATGAAAGATAAACACGTGTTTCGGGTTCAAAACTTGGTCCAAAGACAGGTTATTTTGAGGTTTATCTTGGTTTTCGTCAGTCCCTCCAGGCTTATGCCAAGACGACCAGAAAAATATTAAGAAAATATTTCCGTATTAATCCGAGTCCCTGGAACTACTAATAATTGCAGAACTAATATTTGCCCCTGAGATTTAATACTGGAATGGTGATTAATAGAAATTAATATGTGAATGCAAAAACTAATTAATTATAGGTAATATTGAACCTGTGGATTACAATTCTCCAGTCCGGCCAATGAGAGAGAATTCTTGGCTTGGAGGAGCTATCGCAGTGCAAGACAATGGTGAACGTTTTGTGGTGAGTAAATTTCGCTCAGCGCGTTAAAGTCACTCAGCTCGTAAACATTCTTAAATAAACACTAAGGCTACTCTGTTTTACCTGAAGGACCACGTGTTTATTACTTAACGAAACATAAAATAAATCTGTCATGATTATTCGTAAGACTAAAGTATTTACCTAAATCCACGGAGTAAGAAATCCTTATTTAGACGCTAATAGTCACTCATATAGTCATAATATACCCTTTGTGTTATTTAAACTCAAGGTTCATTGCCTTGTTTACAAGATAACGCATCTGTTCCCTGTCTTCAGACAGACGAATCGAGTTCTAATCTCCACACCCATTAGACTGTGTGTCTTTCAAGACACTGATGAGATTGACAACTGAGGGACTGTTTAACCCTTCGAAGCCGAAGATCGTCTAAATATTATTTATGAATTCAGTCCGTATCGCGAAGAAAACACTACACCTCACCATTACGAAAATCAGCTGGTTAACCCTTTGAAGCCGAAGCTCGTCTTCATAATATTTACGAATCCAGACCGTACCGCGAAGAAAACACTTCACTTAACCATTAGAAGTCGAATCAGGCGGTACCACATAAGATTTAACAAAAGAACACCCCGGTCAAAGCCTTAAATACTGCCGTCTTCCGGGTCGTAGCGTCGTATAGTCTGGTAGAAGTTTACTAACGTTTCGGAGGTCTTTGCTGCTTCCATCATCAGGAAGCTACGACCTCAAATTCTACTGAGGGTTTTCTTGATTGATGTTCATTAATTTGACATGTTGTATTTTTATAAAATTGAGTCTATTTTACGACTATAGTACGAAAAGTAATAGGTCCTAAGACGGAGGAATTAACAATAGGATGGGAAAAATGTTGCTTGCTGGAAAATTTAATTATTTTTGGATTTGCGAGAAGAAATTTAGTTAGACGTTCATATAGACACGTACAAAAAGTTTTTAAAAATTCATTACATATATGATATTCTATGAATAGTGTGCAACTGATGTGAAATTTTTTCTTGAATTTAATTTTTATTAATTATTTTACGTTGTATTATATTCTGTGGCGAATGGAATTTGGGCAAAAGAGCCTGTTACCTTCAAGTGCTCGAGGATAAATTTGCAAATAATAATTCTTACTCGTTTATTGTATACGCATCAAAGTACAATATTATGGCGTATTATATTCAGAAATATTTCTGAAATTATTCTTTCAGTAATTTTGTAGGATTGCACTGACGGGGGAGCGATAAGATACAATATATTTGCCTACATAGGACAGCACAACATAAAAGCTGAAAAACATATTTCTCGACTGTGATCCAAACTTACGACCTCACTTTTCGAACAGTTAAGGCCTGCGACTTAGTCCGCTTTACCATATTACAGTAACTTAACATTATCCGTTTCAGTAGGGAAATATATTCTCTCGGACAATCCGCTAAAATTAAAGATAAACACGCAAATGTAAGAAAAAAGTAAATTTATTTACGGATAAACATCACTTGTAGCCACGGTGGTCTAGCGGTTAGAACGCTGGCCTTGTAATCCTGGGGATCTCGGGTTCGATTCCCGGCGGTGCCCGAATTTATAACTTGTGTTGGGCAAGGCCGTGGTCTAGGCAACACGGAGTTTTCCTCCGGGGACTTCCCCGGTTTCTCCGTGGCATCC